GGTTTCTCCTGAACCTTCAAGAGGTTTCTTTTGGGGGTTCGAGGGGTTTCTCCTGGGGGTTGCAAGAATTTTCCCATGTCGCCAATTTTTTTATTTTCTATTTTTTTAGCAGCATGTTAGAGTTCCAAAATCCAAAAAAGAAACTCTATTAACATTTTTCGAAATCCTCCTAGAAAATGGTACTCTAATCAACCCCTTTAACACTTTCGAAAATTATTTAAAATAAATACTCACGACAGAAATGCAGTATACATCTAACTCGATTCTCACTAATTCCAGTTCTTCGTATCGGTAACGTGGAGCGCGAATCTGAAATGGTACCGAAAAGTTTCGTCCCAAGTCCCCGCAGACAGAAACTCCATACAAAAATCTTCACAACACGGTACGCCTCTACAAATCCCAAGTCGATGTTACTCCAGAAACAATAAGATAATGAGTTCAACTTATCAAATTACTCAAAATGTGTTACTTCATTATCTTGACGTTTTACAATCAATCCAACTATCTCCCAGATTAATTTATCTTTTTAAATAAGCTTCTCGCGTATTAAACAACCGCGGCAACGGAAAACTATCGTTCACATGCAAAACGGAACACCCTTGTTTCAACCGAACAATCCAATTTTGCTTTCGTACTTAATTACCGCAGGGCAATCTTAAAAGAATGGCACCAAAGTCACGAAGAAATATTTATTTTTGGCGACGGTTTTAATACGAGAAGCGGGCCGTGACGAACGCGCTACGTCTGCTCGGCTACCACGCAATCGCCGGACCGCGTCACCTCACGTCACAACGCCGAACCACGGGACGAGCACGCGAGACGCCATATTGAGCGAATGTTGATTGAATGCGGTTTAGGTGTTTACGCGGTTCCAAGTAAAACCCGTGGAAAACCGTATCGATTGCCGTGTGGCCCGGTTCGAGTGCTCGCGAACGATCCACTTGGTGTACCAGTTGCACCACGCGGTGATAGAATGAGCGGCAGCGACGGCGAGGACGGTCAATGCAATAGGACGAGAGAAAGCAACGTAGTAGCGATGGGTGACGTTCTCGCTAAGAAACACGCAGACGATGCACCTCGCGATACCTGCATCGTTGCAGACGACGACCCAACGCGACAGGATGTGGACTTGGCGACGGATTACGAAAGCGACGCTGTCAGGTCACCTGTCGTCGCGAATTTGGTTCCTGACGCGGTACGTTCCCTCATGAATGTAATTGCACCCCCCCTCCGAGAGCCATCGATCATAAACCATGGATAAAGGAATTTAAAGGAGAAATTATGAGACTGGTTCATTGATATTAGATTTATTAAGCCTTCGGTTTTTGTACAAGTGAAGGGACAATGACAATTCTAGTTAATGTAAATGGAATTTGTGGGAAATACATGGAACACGTTGTTCAGGAATTTATTGTACATAAATTGGTAATTTCATTATGCGAGATGTACAGTGGAATGGGATTTATTAGTATATTGTGTTACGACGGTCTCTGTGGAGAAGATACTGTATTCGTATTGATAGTTCGTGTACGTGTAGTACTCGTAGTTTCATGGTATATTCAACGTGCTTGTGGGATTTATTGTTTTGTATTTATATTATGAAATCGATTAAAACTAAGGTTCCTTGTTACTTATGATTGTAATATTGTGGTTTTCTCATATAGACGATAACGATAAGGTATTTGAATTTTGGATATGGGAAATGATATTGAATTAGTATGAGAATTTGAAGGGATTGAGTGTTTATGTGAATGTTATGTTTTCAGAACGGGGTGATAGATATGAATGCAGTTCATGCTTTCATAAAGGGTGCAAGAGATCCTGGATATGTACAAACGGATTCGTATAAAGTGAAAAGGTAATTGTTATTGAATTGAAAATGGAAAAGTTTTAACAGAACTGATCTTTATTGTAGAGATCTCTGTAGAGAGGAACTGCAGAAGATTATAAAATTTCAAAACTTATGGATGGAATTGCAACAGTACATGCGTGCCTCTTTCAATGTTGCGCTAGAAGCTTCTCATACCCCAGGGAACTTGTTAATGCAACAAAATGCACTTTCTATGGACAATATGCATGAGATTGTTCTGCAGTAAGTTTAAAGAATGATCTTATGCATATGACATCTACTGATCGAAATCAGTAGATTTAGATGTGGTATTTGTTTTTAGACTATGCAATTGGGATTCTGGACAGTTATCTATGAGGCTAGTGAGTCAGGCCCAAGAGTTTGTTATAGAAGTAAAAGTTCGATTGTTAGCTCTTCTACATGATCATAGTGTAAATAATTTAGCAGAAATTTTTCTTACAGGTACCTTGAATGCTATTACTTAAGATTACAAACTTTTATTAGCCACTGTATGTATTGACCTTACACATATATGTTATGTGCAGGTCTCTTAGATGATTATGATGCATTGATATCGACAGCATCACAAATTTCTGAATTAGTAAAACCATTGAAGGGTTATTTGTGCAAATTTACATGGGACTGTTTCATTAAAAAGTTATATCAGATCTATGTATACGATGAGTCATTGGTACAAAATAATTTGCCTTCCTTTATTGGACAGGTAAATATATTAAAAGCAAAAGTATACTTACCCCTGGACTACGTGAAAAGATTAATGGTTTCTTTGATGTTACAGTTAAGGAAATTTTTATCTTTGAAAGGCTCGAAATATCAAGGTCTCGTTCATCGATATTTAGCATTTGACGACAAAATGACGAAAATCAGGGATCTGTGGCCAGACACGGAACCGTGGATGGACAAATACAAGTAAGCAATTTTTGAAATTACCTCCTAATCGATACGAGCAAAAGCGTTTACTAACTGGAGTGCAAGGTAATAAATGTATGATCGGAGTTTCATAAACAGCACACATTTCAGTGCAGAATTAGCAGTTCGAATGACCAGGCTTAAGCAAATATGGAGGACTTGGGAATTATTTTCTGTAACTAGGAAATTTATAGAGCAGCGTATGTCGAATAAATCGCTTGATAGTGGAAAGTATGTTGATATGTAAAATGAAGAGTTCCTTCTGTGACGTTAGATGTATGATACAGTGTTATTCTCTATTCCAGTGAATTACAAGAAGTTGATAGTCAATTGTCAATGCTTGCATCGCAGGGGAAGGTTGAAATGGACAGGCTACTTTCGTCTGCCGAGATAGTTCAAATTTTGATCGACGATATAATCGAAGATCAACTTGCAAAATGGTAAGATAATTTAGAATATTTTATTATGCGCGTGTAAATGATTATTTGAATGGAATAGTAAAATGAAGTTGATTTTACAGGACTCACGAAGGCGGATGCTTAGAAAGTAACGCGAAAGAAGGGAAATGTTGCGAATTTCACACGTGTACAGGGTTTCCAGTGTCATCGAATGTAAGAAGAACTTATATATTGCTTTAATATTTTTCCATCTGGTAATGATTAACCGGACTAACGTTTACAGGCGAATAAAAGTGACACGGAAAGTATAGGGTTGCCAATAGAAAATCCTTTTTCACAACTCATTAATGGTTTTTTAGGTAAAGTATACCTTCAGAACGGTGCGTTAAATGATTTGTTATTAAATCTGGAATCACTTACTGGAATTCCATTTTTAGAAGAAGACATAGCAAATTATTCCGCAACACAGATCAAAAAGAAAGTAGATCCAATGGAATCGAAAGAAACGAAACTCGATGTGAGTGAAATTAGAAGTGTTCAGGAGGATACAGATTTGCGAACTGAACCGCAGCCTTGCTCGTGCGTGTATCAGCATGTTAGGGAAATAACGGAACGGAAGAAAGGAGTTTTAGAAAATCCTCCGTGTCCGTGTTTGTTAAACTCGAAACGGAAATGGAACACTTGTCCATGCCTAACAAAATGTAATTATGAAAGAAAGGATAAAACATATAATTGCTGTAACGGCACCGTCGACGCATCGTTATTATAAACTTTTATAACATTGTTAGCTGTACCTGAAATGGCTGTGTCGAACAATCACCCAAAGCCAGCATCTCCTACGACTGTGAAGACTAATCAAGAACCAACTAAACCTGTAGTGAAATCTGGTTCTACGCAATCTGCTCAAACACAAACAAGACATTCTACCACGCAAACGCCAAACACCGCTCACAATCATCCAACACATCTCGGTAGGTGTAAGTGGTAAATCGTTCCATCAGATTTCAGCCATACGGTAATTTCATGAAATTAATTTAAGATGCTTTGAACTGCTGTATTAAGTCCTTTGAAAAGGAAGTCTATGATTCAGACAATCATCTTTTAAATGAAATCCAGTATAAAGTATAAACTTTAATATCTTACTACTATTGTGAAAAAATAATTTAAATGTGTTTCTTTTTATATATACATACACGTACACGCTGATCGACTTGCATTTTCCATATAGTTTTAATAAAAATGTGCTCATCGCAAACAAGTTTGGAAACTTATAATTATATTTATTCTGAATCAAACAGGTACCACTCATCCTCCACACACGCACGGGCCTCTACCGGACTTGGTTAAAAACGCGGCCCCTCCTCACAGATCTCACACACACAACAATCATTCGTCGCATGCATGTCACAAACAAGCCAACGTCGAGCACATCAAAAGAGTATCGTGTAATGATTGTTAGTACATATTTGATGCATTTTCGTGTTCATTACTTTCATAACTGTAACTTATTGTAACCAATTGTTCCGCTTTCAGTGAGTTCCGGGGACGGTGATTGTTCTGATTCCGGAAGCAGTCAAGAGGACTCTTGTTCGACCAGTAGTTCGGCACAAAGGGACTCGAGTAGGCATTGTGATTGTTGTTACTGTGAGGTGTTCGGACATGGAGTTGTAAGTGAATTTTATTTATACCTTTAATGTAATTTTATTCGCAATAATTTCATTCTTCCTTGTAGCCTTCTGTAGCGCCAGTTAGTAGGAATTATAATGAAATGAGAGAAAGATTGAGACAGTTGTTAACTAAGAAAAAGGCCAAGAAGTGTAAAGCCACGTGTAGTCCTTCGAAGAGTTCTTCGGAGTCATCGACGAATACGAATCCAGAAACAAAGACGGTGACCAGCATGGCGCCTAGGTCTAATACTCCAGTTTCTACTACCTCTACGGTCCAACAGGATCAAAGAGATCAGAGGGATTTGGAAGAATTGTTAGAGTTCATTGAAGGGAATCAAAATGGGAAAAAGGATAATAATAAGAAAGCGGAGAAGAAAGCCAGGCAGAAGCAACGAAAGGTTCGTCGATGGGAATTATAAAATCTAATGGCGCATCGCTTAACATGCCTGCAGTTTAATCTTTCCTTCGTTACAGGTGGAGGAAAAGCTGAAAAGAGATAGGCAAGAGGCAGAAAGACAAAAACTGATAGAACTACAGAAAAAAACGCCGGAAGTAACGATTACAGTCGTAGACCCACAGAAACCTGTTTCTCAGAGATTATTACCTCAGTGTAATCTACCCGAAGTATCTATTTTACCTACATCACCGCCAGTAGCATTGCCGAGTGTAAAGCAATTAAGTAATAAAAAGAAAGACAAGCAAGAAATTTGTAGCAATAGTAGCAACACTAGTAGTAGTAGCTGTAGCAGCAGCAGTAGTAGTAGTACCATTAGTATAAATAGTAAGGCGAAGGCTGCATCTGTGAATACGAATTTAAAGAATAAAAGTATTAATCCAAGCAAAGTTGATAAGACGGTGGTTGCTAGCCAGACGAATAAGTTGACCAGTAAAACTGACAAAGCCGAAATTATTAATAAGAGTAATAAAGTATTGACAAGTACCAACGGTACAAGCACGAAAAGTAGTACAAACGGTACAGAGAAATCGCTGGCAGTGGAAGTAAACGACAAAAAGTTAACGAAGAAAGAAAGGAAGAAGCAAAAGAAAGAACTGAAGAAGCTGGAAGAAGCGAAGGCGAAAGAAGTGAAGAAACCGGTTCAGCCGGAGAGCCAGCCTCAGATGGTCACCATTAAAAGGGTTATGGAGTCGAACAGTGCAGAGCCTACGGTTACAATTACGTTAAAGGGTCAAACACCGGCCGAGGATAAAGTATTGTTCACGTTGGTGAATGGGCAAACCAAGGAAGTTTCGCTGCCCAAGTTGGAGAACGAACAGAATCAGAATATTAGTGGGAAGAAGAAAAAAACCAAAGCAAATAACAACAACAACAACAACAATAACAACACCAACAATAATAATAACAATAGCAATAACAACAATAACTCATTACAGCAAGGCAACAAGTCTCAACAGACAAATAATACGAAGCAACAGGCGCAAAATAAAATTTGTGACAATAAGAATGTTAAACAACAAGGAAATAGTGAGAAAACTAAGGGAAAGGACGAGAAGAAGGTCCAGCAGCAGAATATAACGGAGACGAAGAAGTCTAAGAAAGATAAGAAGAACACCGAGAACAAAGAAAACGTGCTGCAACAGAATACAGTAAATAAGAATAAGAATCAGCAGCAAACAGTGTCTAGCAAGAAACAGAATAAAATAAATACTCCCCCTCAGACACCAGTCTCTCAAAAATCACCGCCGAATCTCACTAATGAAAACAATAAGAAATCAAAGGGTCAGGAGCAAGAAAAAAGCGGCCAGTTGAATTCCAGTAAGAACAATAAGAATGCAAGTACCAATGGGACATGCAAACAGGCGAAAAACGATAATCAGAAGATACAAACTAAGATAGCCTCTTCCCAACCGACAATCAAGCGATCGGAGATTCAACCCACCACCGCTGAGCGAGTTAACTCCCCTTTAAGTAGCCAGTTCAAAGACATCAGCGCAAATTCGAAGATCAACATAGAAAATTTAAAACTACCACCTGGGATCACAATAACGAAGGTCGACGCCCCCGCTAAACCATTGCCAATAAGATCAGCGCCGTTGCCCAAGCCAGTAAATCCTCCCAAGCAAACTACAATAATCGCTGCACCGATGAGTAGCGTCCAGTCGAGTTACTCGAGCTCTCAAGCGGGCGGCAACGTGATCGTGGTCGATACTGGAAAACTGAAGCAAGACCTTCTCCCGAAACCCACGGAAAAAGGTGAGTATGCTAAATATTGAACAGAATCTGGAAAACTAATCCGGAATACATTTCTCATTTCTTTACTGTGTATTTCATCGTAGACGTGCCTAAAGAAAACCAACAAAACTCGAGCACCACGGGGAAAAAGAAGAAGAAAAAGAACAAAAGTGGAGCCAACACGGTAAACGCCGGCAATCAGACGACAGCGCAAAACAACGATCCGTTCGCGAATGATCACACGGATGAACCTGCTAGAATACTCCATAATCCTAACACGAACATGGTGACCATAAGGAACCCAGCGTTTGGTCCGATGAAAGTGCCTCCGACGCAACAGGCAGCTATCATAAAGGTGTCGGAGAACGGAATGGTGACCATCAGGAGTCCTGCGCTGCAACAGGCGATCAATGCAGGCCTAACGTCGCCCCCGAAGCCCGATTACATAGTGAAAGGTGACCTGTCGTCCAGGACATCCGCGGAGAGCTCGAATCTAAAGCACACGAACGGTATTATCCCGTCGAGCCTCGCCGAACTGAGGAGCAGACTGACGCCAGATTGCACGACCCTCAGCGATCTGGCCAACATTCAGATCAGCAAGGTGACGAACGGTCAACCGATACCGGAGAACGGGATCAACTTGAAGGGAACCAGCGTGACCTTGACGAAGGTGAGGACAGAGGCGAGCATAAAGGACGTACAGAGCGCGAAAACGGCGGTCCGGGAAGCGATAAATGCTTCAATAGCGGCGTCGAGTACCGGGAAGAGCAAGAAAAAGAAAAAACGCGGAACCGGCACGAGACAGTGCGGCGATGACTGGAACCTCGTTGGTGAGAAACAACAATAATCAGAATTTAACATGTAAATTTGCTTCTTTCATTTTTTGTTTTCCTTAACACACAGAGACAGACAGACACACACACTCCACACGTACACACCCGGGCTGCAATGCCATCGCTCCCGGCGTTAGACGTTAAAAACTGTCTCTTTTCAATTGACTTGTTTGATGTTTTTTTTTGTTTGTTTTTTTCTCTCTTTTCTTTTTTGTTTTTTCTTTTTGAGAACCACACAAAATTAAATTGACAACACACACCCAAGTATTGAGTCTCCGGACACGAGCGAGTAGAGATTGAATCGTACTGACGACGGTTTTTCTTTCGTTTCGTTTCGTCAGGAGAGGGCAGTGTACCGCGTTAGGACGAGGCTAGGTCAAAAGATTTATTCGAATACCGGATGATACACACTCGGGATCTCCTCGAATTGGCCGCCACGAATTTCTCAGGGGATTGGTCCGGAAGAAACTCTGGCCAGTGAGCACTATCTTTTCTTTATTTTCTTTTCGCTGTTCGCGCGTGCCGACGACTCGTTTTGTTGGATGATCCAGGTGACTTTTCTCTGTCGAATGCAATCCGTAGCTTAAAACTATGACATACATGCGCCAGGTGATCCTGAACAAGTGTCCCACGCTGGCAAAGGTTGTCCCACACCGTCGAATAATTGAGAATTTCTAGTAAATGATAGTCCTGGAACACTTTACATTATACATAACAAAGGTATTCGATTGAATCAGTTTTAGGACCTCTATTTGCTGGAACTTTTTCGTTACTTCTAAAGTGTAGGGCTTGCCTACAGTTTCGGACGCTGGTTCAGATTACCTCCAGTATAGAATGTAACACTGAACGTGTCAGATTTCAAGGATGGATTTCGCGCTGAAAAACGAATAAGCGAAAAATTGGTGCAAGCATATGCCAGATGTAGTCCTCGCAGAAGCTGGGAGTATCGTGTCGTTGCAACTTGTAAATATCCTATTCTATATTATCGTTGAATCAGGCATATGTTTAGATGAATTTTTCCAATTGGTTTTTCAACTGTACAAAGTTCTTGGATCGTTGACAGTATCATCGTTACGTCCTGTATGAGAATCACACTTGGACTTAGGATAGCTTGTAGCATCTCTATTTATTTAGGGACCTCTCAGTTATATGTCTGTCCCTTTTTTTCTGGTTACTTTTTTCTAGTTCCCTCCTCCTAGAAAGTCAACGACGGTCGTAAGCACGCGGAACTCTCGACGGAAAGCATGACAGTTTTAGAGACCTCTCATTATATTCTAGATCTATTTAGACATTGAACCACGCCGACTCGATTGCTACGGATCCGTTATTATTATTATTACTACTACTATTTATTATTATTATTATTATTGTTACTGTTATTATTATTGTTACTACTGTTATCACTGTTATTACTTTGTTTCCTTTCGTCACTACTCGACTTGTGGAAAGAGAAAGGACAGATAAAGAAAAGATACGTCGGTCACTCGAGAGAGTCACGCATTACCAAGTTCGTTGACCATCGACAGAGCTAACTTGTCCTGTTACCTGAAGCTTCATTCCGATGAGAATCGATCGACAGAAGTAAAAAAAAGAACAGGCGATCACGAATTCACGAGAATGACGAGATTGAACATTTTCTAATTTTTTTTAAATAAAAGAGATTTATTTTGTTTCCTGACATTTCTATTACATATATGTGTATATATATATATATCATGATATATATATATATGTGCTCTCTTTTCCCTGTCGGTTACCGATGTCGCCCATAATGCTGCATGCGTATGGATAGACCGAGCGAAATGTTCTCTCAGTTTCTCTTTTCTCTCTCTCTCTCTCTCTCTCTCTGTTTTTTTCTCTCATACACGTATACACTTGATCTTTTACTTTTCTCTTATCCACCGAAAGCTCTTCCCCCTCTCGAGTTTCATTAGCTCTTTTCTCCCGTTTCGTATGCAGGCAATCCCCGCGTGACAAGGAATTCGTACACTCGAAGCTCTGTCGTCCTGCTTCGACGAGAACTCGTATCTACCACAAATGAGATTAATTTCTCTCAACCGTTACACGGGGTTGCCTGTATATTCCGTTTCTCTTGCGTTCTTCTCGTATACCCATACTCAGGCAGTACCTCGGCTGAAACTGAAAGAAAGTATTCGAAACAGAATCAATATCCGGTTCAAGGTGCGATACTCGAACGCCGAAGCAAAGGAAAAAAAGAAAGTCAATACCGTGCACCGCAAACTTGAATTTCCCCCCCCTTCTCTATGCTCCCTTAAATTCCGCCGGGTGCTGGTCCAACTCTAGTATTCAGAGCGTGTCTTTTGCAGAGAGCGTATTCACGCCCAAAGATATAGACCTCGAGGACGGGGAGATGGACGACGCCGAGCGCGAGCTGGAGGCGTTCAAGAGGTTTTGCCTGCAATCGGTGCCGCCTCCTCGCAAGGAGAAGGTCAACCTGAACATCAAGGACATCGTGCTGAAGAAGAAATCGTCATCGTCATCGTCGTCGTCCTCGGCGGCTGCCGCCGTCATCGCCGCGAATTGATTCGCCAATGGCCACCTAGCCCTTAGGGTACGTTTATAGCGGGACCGTTGCGAGAGCGAACCGAGGGAACCGCGTACCTTTGTTCGAAACGAACGCGTTCGCGTCAGTTTGACGATCAACGATACAAGTGTCGCAAATCGACGCTCTCTCAGCTTCTCGCCGCTGCGCCGCTGCAAACGTACCTTCGGACGCGTTGGCTTGACGCAACAACCGACGCGAGGGAGAGCTTAATGCCCGAGAACGCAGCTTTCTATTGTTTCCCCAAGAGTGGACAATAATACACGATCGCTCGAGTCGGGACAGCCCGACGATGCAATCTCTCGGAAGAACGTTAGGGGGACGAACGCCTAAGGGTGAATTTTTAATCAACTTTTGCTGGAGCTGGTGGCAACGTGTTACAGCCGACGCGTAGACGTTTTACCGGGTCACTAGTTCGATAGATCTAGAATAAAGTTTTTAAGACGGAAACGTGTACACTGTTTTCGTACACGGTTTTTATCTAGATAGGAATTCTTTTGTAACGCATCGAATCACGCATTATGATTATTTATTACAAGGGTACACCACTTTTTGGTGAGCGCGAATGGAGGTTGACACGCTGAATGCCACGGTGACTCCCAAATCGAATTACTATAGTTCATTGAATATGATTACTTGAAAACATTTGTACATTACAATGTTGCTTAACGATATTAAGATGAGCGTGCAGTAACGCGATTCGATCGAATGATTTGATATCATATCGTTTCCATTTTGTATACTTCGCTCTAGGAAATTGTGCGGCGTTCAACGTGTCGATCGGTTGTGTAAAAATTGTTTATGTATTCTCCATGTGGAGGCTCTTTTTATTCGAGTTCCACGTTGCGTTTGTAGCTCGACGATCTGCCGAAATTACACCGTTTCATCGTTGATTACCTGCTCGCTGAAGGAACCGTTATCGGCGAGTCGAACCCTGTCACCGGCAAAACCCGATTAAAAAGTCACAATTACGCTCGAGTGTCTCCTCCGCGGGCCTTCCGGCCGCGCCGCGCGAAGGGGGAGGAAAGACGGAGCACGATTCGCGACGCAATGGAAGCGTTCGAGCGGCGAAGGGAAACTCTGCGACGTTTGCATCGAGCCAATCGCTGGCTGGCGAACGACGAATGTAATACTGCCACGGCCGATGCGAGTGAACACGCGACCGACTGGGAACGCGATCCGTTTCCGGGTCTCGACGACGCGGTGACTCTGCGCGACAATTCTGATCCCTGATCCGAGAATACGGTGGACGAATTCAAAGGAATATAGAAATTTAGCGGGCCAGCCGCCGCGGTACGATATACTCGGTGATCGACGTCGTCGACGAGGGGGACGAATACCGTTTTGTATTAGTCGTCGTGTCGTCGTCGTGTCGGCGACCTAGTCGACTTCATATTTTTAATATTAGTAGGACGAGCGTGTAATAAAGATTAATAGCGATTCTTCGTTTGCGAAGAGACGAATTTAAACAAGGTCAAAGAAAAACGCCTTGGGGTACAATGTACGATGGGGTGGGGGTGACGCGTTTGTTCCTTGTGGATACAGACGAGCCGTTAGATATGTACACGTATATATATGTATCTTTATATACTGAATTTATATGTATATACATATATATATGTGTGTGTATTATAAATAAAAAGAAACAGAATTTTGAACAGTGTATGTATGTATATGTATATCTATAAATATAGTAGGAACGAATTCTCCTGCCGGAAGGGGCCATGTTCGGTTCGGGACGTCGGCCCCTTCGAATTTCGATCGCGTCACGATTAATGTCTCCCGATCGATGTGGGATTATTAATTGAGAGCGCGTGGACAACGGCGACGCTTCCCTTAAATATCCGCGCGCGCGCGCGTGCGACGGTTACCGGTGTTGTTTGTGGTATCGGTAAAACGCGCGAGCGCAAGAGATAAGAATATACACATAGACACGTTTCGTCGTCGTAATACCGGCGATCAGGCGTTCCGCGTCGCCACGATCGCGATCGCGGGCTTCGGAGCACACTCCTCGATCGATTTATGTCCGATACACAACACCACTGACACACGTACACGGAGACACAATTCTCTCATCTTTTTTTTTTCAATAAAAGCAAATATGCATTTTTACCGAAGATCGTTGTTACCTCCTTCTCCCTGTTTCCCGTTGGTACTGTTCACCTTTTCTGGGTGTCTGTGCACTTAACCTTTTGCGGGTTAGTTAGTTCTTTCGATTACAGCTTAATATGACGCTCTATTTATTCATATTTGGGAGTCATTGAAATGTTACCTTCGAATGGTACAATTGTGATACAGATAAATATAGAAAAAATTGTTAGAACAGGTAGAGGTTGGAATGAAATAGAATGTCGGACATGGGACTGCTAAGGGTTAATGATTCAGTGAATTGACGATTTGACCTATGATTTCTTTCTCAACTCTGATCGATACTTTGTTATTGAAAATTTATTGGAAAAAGAGAAAAAGCCTAGGTATATTTTACACCTATGTTTGCTCTAAGTTAATAATTCATAACAGAATAATACTATTTAATTTGTATTCATAAAAATTGAGTAATATTTGTGTGTTAAATTCTGTTTAAAATCATCACGAGTCTGATATGTTATAAGGCAAAGAGTTAATGTCGATTGATTAACTTGAAGGAACTTCAGTGAGTGTAATGAGAAAAATGATTGATTGTATTACGAGCAACTATTGCAAGCTAATCAATAATTAGTTAGGCAATGGGTTAATCATTCTATATAGAGTGATACATTTCGAAACAATCTAATAGGCGTAATGCAACGAGATTATCAATATATGGATATAATTGAGAATTTTCGAACAGAAAAATTAACACTAGAGCCACCGAGTAATACGTAATCTCTATACAAATTGTGACAATAGATTATCTTCAGTTTCTTTAGACATTCATTAGTATTCAACTATTTATTTTCAAAATCATTTCAAATATTCAATGCTTCCAAGATATCAATAATTGCGAAACAGAAAAATCGAAACCATGGCGCGGTAGTTCTATTGTTAAGCGACGTTTCCACCGAGAGAAGATAATTAACGAGATTGGTTAATTAACGAAAGAACACGGACAAAGAAATCGTACTCCCAGTTGTCACGACCCGCGTGATTTGTATGCACCGCGGTACAATTCGATCTGACATATTCTCTCGGTGCCCAGGCGCCAGATCGGCGCTGCGATTTCTCATGCTAGCGTCGTTGCAGCTTGCATCGGGCGATGCATGAATTATTCCGGACGGACAAGCAGCACACCCCGTGCTGCTGTTGCATCGGATCGAATCGAGGTGAAAGAACGCGCCGTTGGCGACCGGTTTCCGGTTTTCCGGAAAACCATTATCAAGCATCGTTGCATAACTGTTAATTGGGTCGTCGACCGAGTTCCGATGCGAATTTAATTTTCATTCTCAACATTGTCCGAGGCCCGCTTCGTATTTCTATATAAATTAACATTTCACTCGAACGTATCGCAAAGAGGTTCATTAGACGATCTTAAATAACCGGAAGTCGAGCGACACAGCCGCTGATTTATCGTTCGCCGTAAGAACCCTCTTGCAGGCTATCAGGGACAAGTTATCCTAAGCGCTTCCCTTGTTATCATCATCCGCGGATTCGCGGAATCAAGATAGAAATTAACAACAACGAAGTCTTCAATATTATCATCGCTAATTTTTCTAATTACGTTTACACGTGTAACAGCTGCATCGGCGGTTTTACTGCGTGAACCTCCAACGGGGAAAATCTTTGATCATTCGCATGGCTCAAGCAGAAAATTCTTGCGCGTGTTTAATTAATTTACGCAGTGAAAATGTATGCTGATTGGGAACAGCAATCTAGCAGGAGGCTCCGCAATTCATTCAGCGAAACCGACTGTTATCTCGCGAATGTATAAATACCGTGTATTTTAGTAGATCATCCTCGCTGACAGGTGTCGCCACCGATTCGTGCCAGTACGCTCGCCGATTTAACGGGTGTACGAGAAATATCGCTATAAGAATAATTATATATTCTGCTACTTACGTTTCCTATTTTTATTTATAAACGATGGACTTCCATAATTCATTCCAATCGTGAGAGATCGAAGAAATTCTAATTGTTTCCAAAAATCTATTACTCGATTTAAACAGTCATCGATATTTCCATGGAACAGTCGCTGAAAAGGAATACGATTTTTTAATTCCAAGACAATCCTGGCTGCTCGCAACGCTCGCCGGCGTGAATTCGAAGCGATCCGTGGTTACCTGGCAACAGGTGGATTTAAACCGATGCACCCGGCTGCGCATCGCAGTGCACTATTGCGGAAGAACAATTAACGAGTTCATTTAACCTGGATGCGTTGTTCCGCGGCTCTATTAACCGACTCTCCCGAGCTATCCGGACGAAAAGCCGCACGTGTTTAATCTTCTTTTTCCCCTCGCCGACATTCCACCGCTTCTTCAGGCGACGGAACGGTTTTGCAGTCATCGGCCGATCTAGCCGACGCAACTTCCAGCCGCAATTATCGGTGTGCCTGTGATACATGAACAGGGAGTGAAATTCTTCGGAGATCTTATAGAGATTCCAAATCATACGTACCTTCTAATCAAGAAATTCAACCAACGGATGGATGTTAAACGTTCCTAACGTAGCCGCTCGCCGGTGAAGGTTCATCAGGGATTCCCAGAAGTGTCCATAATCGCCGTCGCTGGAAACCGAGGCAATCAATTCTTACAAATGAAGTTTTCCTTCACCTTTTATCAATTACGGACTGATCGGAAATTTAAATGTTCCCCGTTATACTCAGAGATTTCCCGGGATTGTCGCAATGACGATGTCATTGGAACAATTGAAGAATATTCTAGAAATTAAGTTTCCATTTAACATGTTGCTATGACTGGAGCTTCCAAATTGCTTGAAAACAATTCAGAAAATTGATATACAAAAATCAGGAAGCATCAAAGATTCGACCACATTGACTAACGACTCGTTTATCGTTAAGAATTTTCTAGATTTACACCATACAAATTGCTAACTTTCATTTGAACTCCAAAGGACTGAATATTTGTGGAATCGTATTATAAATCTTCGAGACAGACACGATATTCAAAGGCAAGCAGTTAAGTTGACTGCCACGGTAGTCGGTGACCGGAGCTTCCAAACTGCTTGAGAATAATTACAACAAGAAAATTGCCATTAGAATATCCAGTAATCCAAGAAGCTAGATAATAGTGTAATACAAGTATCGTAATACCAAACATTAATAATTATTCCTAATACAATTTTCCTCTATTAAAGGAGTAAATCTTACTACAACGAAACGCTCGAAATTCTCGGCGGTCAACGCGTTAATATCGATTAACATCGAAATTCTTCAAATTTACCCATACACGGAACGTCTCTAGGTGGTGTCTCTCATTAAGTCCACTTCAAAGTAGCACCGAATTCATTTCTAACAGCTCTAATTGACCGGGAACGTTAATAACGCTCGAGTAAGTTACAAAATTATATCGGAATGCGTGCAAAGGTCTTCTTCGTGGGAAAAACCGTGGCGTACGGTGTCCGAGCGCCGTGTTCCTTGAGAACGAACCAGCAGAATGCTTCCTAAGGATGATTATTAGCAATTATAGGCGAACTTCGGAAAATTATCCGGCCAATTTCATCCCCTTCGTTCTTTCCACCGGCATTCCGCCAGTTCTTCAAACGCGCCACGACGAAACTCGAGCATCGCCGATCTGTTCGTAGCAATTTTCGCGCGATCGCTGATGCGCGAGCGAAAAAAAAGAAGCGAGATTTCTCGAACCGGCAATTTTGCTCTGCGCGTGTTAGTTTTTGCCCTCTAAACGCTGCGAATGCCCGGGACGCCTCGCGCCGCGAATGTTATTACCGGGAATCGCGATATTTTGCTTCGATCCGCGGCGCTAGTCAAAGCAGATTTCGAGGGAATCGAGCTCTGGGGAATCTTCTTCGGGGAACTTCAGATAACTGTACGGTAATTCCGTTAAGCGATCATCCGAGGTTTTGTTCGAATTAGCGGCGTGATTACGCTTCTCTCGGATTAATAGAAATGTAGAGAAATAAAGGAGCGGAATAGGAATTTTTTAAATGGCGTCGTATAGGTGATAAGAACTGACGAGGAAGAATAGATAGTAAAATACGGAGATACTACTTATTGTCTCGATTAATAAAATAGAAATAAAGAAGCGGAATATGAATTTCCGGAATGATGCTCTATAGGTGATGAAAGTTTGGAAAGAACAATGGACAATGGAATATAGTGATACCAATCATCTTGGATTGATAGGATAAAAATAAAGTAGAATATGAATTTCCTGAAAGATTATATAGGTGAAAGGAGTTGATAAAGGGGGATGAAATATAGTGATACTACCAATTGTCTCGAGTAGAAATCAGGAAATGGAATATGAATTTTTTCAACGATGTTCTAAGATGATTACAAAGAATGAAGTAACCCTTTGAATGTCGGCATTTTTGAGATCAAACTTCCATGACCAAGTTGCGAACGAATGATTTAATTTCCTTATTCTCTATGATTTAAGTATTCTTCTTTAATTGCCTTCTCTATTTAAGTATTCTATAATTTAGAAGAATCTTCGAAACGTTTTGTATACTTTCAACAATATTCTTCCGCGAGGGGTTGATTAATCCCTTACGAGGAAGTTACGAGAAACCAGTTCAATTTTCGCGATTCGATCGAACGGCTCTTACATAATCGTGTCAATCATTACGGTTTTATCTCCGCTTATGAATTATGCCTCGCTATTATACCCGCGACGCGCGTTTCGCGCTCACGACCGGATCAACACGTTCTCTTTCTTCAACCGGTCCAGTAAGGCACCCGGAATCCATTCGAGTTCGAAGCTCATGCATTTCGATTCGCGGCGTCTATACGGCCTTTTTTCTACCCGGTGACCGCCGGTTTCACCGGATTCCTGGAAACTTTATCTAGGATAACGCGTGAGAATCGTCGGGCCGGCTGCATCGATCGTCTCGAAAGTCGACGCGCGGACTCAGCTTAGGTGCGATTCTACTTTCGCGCGGGGATTTGTAATCTCCCTGAATTTCAAACGTTCGAATG